AGGAACATTTGAAACATGATTAGGAATATACTGTACAATATAAAGATAACTACAAGTTTTTCTGCCTTTCTGTTCACTGTATGTAAATAGAACTGATGGATGGAAAACATAAGCTACAAGCTTCTCTGCCTTTCTATTCACTACTGTCTTATGTGAGTATATGCGCAAAGATGTATAAAGGAATTAGAATATAAACTACAAGTTTCTCCGCATTGCTGTTTTCTACTGTCCTAATTGATTAAATGGGCAATGATTGCTTGATCTAATTCCAAGTGCATTCCCAGGGACATTCAAAAAGCTACAGAAAACTTTACAACCATCCTGGGACAGGGATCTTTTGGTCCAGTATACAAAGCTGCAATGCCTACTGGTGGAGTGGTTGCTGTAAAGGTCCTTGGTATCAACTCTAAACAAGGGGAAAAAGAGTTCCAGACAGAGGTAGTATCAAACTTTTTTCTTAAGAAACACTCCATAACACTATCTGCTTAAGGAATCTTTACTATTAGGATCTACTAAATTCTAAGTGGCATGCATTTGGCATTTGCATATCTCTCCCTTTGTTTAGGACCCAACTCTTGATTCCAAATTTCCAACACATACTGTTACTTGAAAGAGTATGTGCGGTTTTAGTAATGATGCTAAATCTGAAGTGGTTTCCTCTAATGCACTTGATCACTGGCTTGGGTGGAGGTGTCATGAATTAAAGTTTGATGCTATTCTGCTAAGGGTAGACAGTATTGTTATAAGATATAATGAAATGCTCTGAAGGGGAACGTAGCTGGAAGTTAATGGAATATTCTTTAAGAAAATGGTCACTTACACCCCCCACCCCCACAAAAATTTTAAATTAATAAAAATTAAATTAAATTAGAAAGAAGAAGAAGACAAGGAGGGAAAAGCCGAAGCACAGTATATGGAACAAAGCTCTCTGACAGTATTTGGCATCAATCTTATTCTTTCTTCAGATTATGTGAAACTCTATCTATATACAAAGTATTTTGTTTTTCAGGTTACACTTTTGGGCAGGCTTCATCACCGTAATTTGGTGAATTTAGTTGGATATTGTGTTGATAAAGGACAGCGGATGTTGATCTATGAATTCATGAGTAATGGAAGTTTGGCAAACCTTTTATACGGTAAGTAGAAAGATTTTTTACTTTGAGAGCCTAAACTCCTTGAAATTTCTTTCCTTCATATAATTGGTTAAATCTTTTGGCTGTTGCAAAAGCCATTTCTGAGATTATGAATAAGATTGATAATATGGATTGAATAATTGAAATGTCATCTTGGGCAAAAGACATAGTATCTTCTCCTTCATATAATTGGTTAAAATGTTCCGTTGATGCTTGTTAGACAATCATTGGGTACTGAAATGTGGTCTCTATATAATGATCTATTTAGACCCTCAAGCAGTGACATTATGCAGTGTTTTCTCTCAGATGAGGAACGGACTTTGAGTTGGGAAGAAAGACTGCAAATTGCTCTTGATATTTCACATGGCATCGAATATCTTCATGATGGGGTAGACTGATTTAATACTTAACCTCAATATTCTGTGATGAAGAGTTGAAGACATTAGATAGTCATTCAATGCTATTACTGTAAACAGGCTGTGCCACCAGTGATACATCGGGATTTGAAGTCTGCTAATATTTTGCTAGATCATGCTATGAGAGCTAAGGTCAGTTGCTAGACAACCTGTTTTTTTTTTTCTTTTTTTTTTTTTTTTCTTTTTTCTTGTAAGTGCAACAATCTTGGAAGAAAAGAAATACTGTACTTTCTCTTGTTTTGCTAATCCATGGGTTCAGAATCATTCTGATCTCTGTCTCTGCATAAGGTTTGTTTAAGTTCAGCTACTTGTTAGCATCTGAAATTTGCATGTTTCCTGCATTAGGTTGCTGATTTTGGACTGTCAAAGGAAGAGGTCTATGATGGCAGTATTTCAGGCCTTAAAGGCACATATGGCTACATAGATCCCATGTATATATCAACAAACAAGTTTACTACAAAGAGTGATGTTTATAGCTTCGGTATCATCCTCTTTGAAATTATCACAGCTATTCATCCGCACCAAAACTTGATGGAATATGTCAATCTTGTAAGTTCTTAACTCATCCTTTCAGAAATATTGATTATTACTCACTATCATCCAAACAAATTGAGGATTTTTTTCCACTTTGAAAGGCGTCTATGAGCCCAGATGGTATAGACGAGATTGTTGACAACCGAATTGTTGGGGCATGTAAATCAGAAGAAGTAAGGAGTCTGGCTGCAATTGCTCACAAGTGTTTGAAGAAAGCGCCTAGAAAACGTCCATCAATCGGAGAAATCTCCCATGCAATATCAAAGATAAAACAGAGGGGTCTTGTGAGAGAAGATACTATGTCTTTTGCCCAAGATGACATTTCAAGAATGGCAAGTAGGATTGAAAGGCAGCAAACGGAATTGAGAAGTATGGCTAGCATAAGTGAGAGAGAAGGTGAATGAAGACATATCCAATAATCTACACACATCATGATTAAAGAAAAAACCATGTAAATTTTCACTCCATAGCTTTTGACATCTACAAAGTTTTGCAGTGATATGATCTTCCTCAAGTGAAAATCTGATACAATTATAGTTTTGGTGATTGAAGTTGACTACAATTCATGTGTGATGTTGGAGTGCTTTGAGGTCTATGTTCCCTACAGGCTACAACTTGCTAAATGATTTTTCAACATTTTAGCTTCACTGTGCACTGTGCAGCATATATTTCGGTTGCCATTATTGATGAGCCTGAAACCATACAATTACCAAAAGCATTAGGGGTGGTCGTGGGTTTGATCCTTACAGACGGCGCCAAAATGATATTGCAAATACGGGGTATACGTAGAGGGTGACCGTGTGTACGACTGACTGGGTATTGAAGCTCGGGGTTCCTAACAGTGGGTCGGGAAGTTCCGGTTCAATTAAATGCCAAAAGTTCCTTTTCAGTAGCAATAAATGTCTTATTTATAGGAGACGGAGGGGACAGGCCTCCGGCATGAACGATACGTGACGGGCATGCACTAGACACTACCAAGGCCTTGAATCGCCGCGACACTCGGCCATACCTCTCTGACTTGACCTTTAAATATGGAGAAAGGTCAGACATTCCAAAGATATAAAGATGTGAAAAATTTAAAGCTATTTAATAATTTCATAAAACCTTATTTCAAAAAAAAAAAAAAAAAAAAAAAGAAAGAAAGAAAGAAGAAGAATAAACATTTAAAATAATCAACAATAATGATGATGGACCATGGTTGTAGGATGGGAAAATCTAGATATAGATTTGGCAATTGCTAAATTATATTGTGGACCAGGGTACCTCTTACCTGACGGATCCTAGTAAAAAATGATGTTATAATATTAAGTGACAATTAGTGCATCATATTTAATCATATCATCTTGTACTATATTCATTATATTTGTTCTATATGTTTATAAACTTGAATCTTAATGTCTATAATCATTAAACTAAATATACATTAAATGTATTTCTTTAAAAAAAATGTATTTCTTGAACATAGATACTAAATTAAATGTACATTATATGTATTTCCATTTACTTTATAGTACGTACAGATTTGTTTCTAAATTTTTTAAAAAGTATATCAATATAAGTGTCATTCAAAGTCTTTAATTAAGATTCTTTCATAATATATTTTTTATATATTAATTTTATTTGTATAAAAAAAGATAAAAATAAATTTATGTTGAAAAAAATGTATAAAGAAAAAAAATGCATCTAACAAAATGTACTCTGGTACACCATATATCTACTGTGGCAATTATCTTTTCCATGGGATTTGGCGTGCCATCACTCTTGCCCGATGGCCGACAATGGGGATTGTTCTCTGACGGCAGACCAATTAACTACATACTAAATAAATTTTCAATTTTATTTTAAACAAATTTATTATCAAAATTTTACTCCTTAATATATTACGGAGTATGTATTATTATCTTACCATTAAATATTGAAGACTATTTTGGTGTTGTATGTTTAGAGGTTTATTATCATTTATTGACAACTAGTCGTCTGTCTATTTCAAATTTTTTTGGCTACTCTTTAATAACTTTTGCCGTCAGGTGACCTATAATTCTAATTTTACCATTAAAAACTTCAAGGAACATTCCAACTTAACATGTTAGGGGAGGCAATATCTATCCAATTCAAGAATTTAAATACAAGAATACACACAAGAATCAAATGTGCGATACTTAATGGTAGAAGAGTAGTTTCTCTAAGACATTATTAACATCTGATACACGAGAGGTCTATGACATTTCTCCATTGTTGCGTCGTAAAAGAAGAGGAAGATGAAATAATGGTGTTTCTAAATGACCATATTCATGTTGGGAATTGTTGGGCTGACCATGGCTGAATTGGTCTAAAAAATTACATTGAAATTCTTATAGTAAAAAAATTTAGAAAATGGGGAAGGAAGCAAAGAAAGGTGAATCTATAAATACCATTTGGACCGGGTGAGAGTAGAATGCTTCGTAGCTACTACAAGAACTTATCCACAATTAGAGAATCTAACTTTCTAAAACTATAATATTTTCTTAAGACTTTTTTTGTGCATTGCAAATATGTAAAACAAATTTTCTATTCAATTATACACTTATATGACTTGTGTTTTTTGAGAGAAAATGAATTCTCATATTTACATTTACATTTATATTTTAATAGATATGAGTCGGAAATGACCACTACTCGAACAACTGAGGAACTAAATAAAATCACCTTTATAATTAAAAGACTGAATTTATCATTATGCCACAATTAAAAAAAAAAAAAAAAACCCTCATTTCCCCTATTTATCAATTACCCATGATTAGTGTTTTAGTGGCGATTTGGCGACAGAGGGAGAGTCCTAGTCTGTTATAATTAAGTGATTAAAAAAGATTAATTGGTGTAATTAATAATTCTAACACTTAATCAGTAGCCAACCAGCTAAGGGGTTAGAACACTATTTTACGCTTATTACGTTTCACCCACCGAATGAAAGGGAAAGAGGAGACAGCTTTATTCCCGCAATCTTGATAGGATTTCTCGGCGGAAAACCCAAAATCTACATTGTAAACTATGGGAAACAATCCAAGACTAGAGGCATCTATCCTCTATTGATTCATTTTTCTATGTTTTTTCCTCAAACAACAGACTTTGAGTCCACTCTCCTCCCAAGTAGAGGTATTTTTTTTTTCCTGTATTTATTGGTGCTTGTATTATTTGCTTGCTTGCTTGGTTCCCCCTTTAGCTAGCGGTAACCAGTTTCCAGTTTTGTTATCTTTAATGGGTATTCCTAATTTGATTGATAGAATGATACTACTGCCTAAAAATTTGATTTTTTAAAACAGGAATTTAATTCTCCTTGGATAATAATCTGATATGGGCCTTACTGAATAATATGATGGTTGATCTTCCATTCCTGGATTTCGAATCCTTTGCTTCAGTATAGAGGAATTGAAGAAGACCTTGCTCCATTCCTTGAATTTGCTGTCATTTTGGAAATGTTTTCCAGATTAGAATGCTTTCAGGTTTATGAATTTTTGTTTCCTATAACGTTTTCAGGTGATACTGGCTGTGATCTAGATAAGAAAAGGCCATTCAGGGTTGTTCTCAAGAGAGACTAATTGCTGGTTTGCACTCCCCCCACAGTTTCTGTGAGCCTAGGGTTCTCTATCAGTTTTCGGTCATCCCCGAGTTCTGTTTCACAAGCGTTTTGCTTTGAACTTGTGGCTTTTGGGGCTGTAAATGATACTAGAAAAAGAGGCGATTTGAAGGATAGACTCTGATTTTGGATGGTATAATGGGTGCTACCTGTTGTTGCTTGCGAGATGATTGCGATGATTTTGCTAATCCAAACAGCTCGATATACCGGAACTGTATATGCATGCGGTATCTTCTTCAGAGTTTATTGCACGTGGTATGGTCTGCTTAACTATCTTTTTATTCGATCATCTTTAAAATGGCCTGCATCTTCTTATACTTTACACTGATTTCTTTTTTCTGTTCGAAAAATAAGAAGGAAGAGAAAAAAGAAAATGTTGATCTGTGTTAGCACAGAAACACAATGGTAATACTGTTATACTTAAGTGCAAAGCAAATGAGTTTATATGATTCTGTTTAGCTATCAGTGTTTGTGTAGCTATCAAGATCCGAAGATGATCTAGCACTGTTAATATGCATTTAATCCATAATGTACCAGGTCTCGGGCCAATTGTGTGTAGAGATACCTAGAAGTTGTACTATACTATCTGCATAGAAATGATAGTTATTGTCCTATTGCTCACTAAAATCGGTTTGACTGGTGATTTCCCTTTGCTTCACTGTGCAGTATACATCATTATTTCATAGAGAACCACGTTCCATCACTTCATCCACTCAAGCGACAGCATCATTGAGTTCTGTTGTTTCACTTGATAACTCTCTATCTGACATGTATCGCTCTCCTCCAAGACCATTGCCTTATGATGCTGATCCCAGATTTTTCCGGTTACAACGAGATGGGCTAGTCTCGAGAAGGGAAAAGGGGTCGAGTCACTCGCATGAGGAGACTGAACCATTACGAAGAGGTGATATTGATGATGAAACGGATTCTCTGAGCACTGGAAACAAATGGGATGCTTCTTGTGAGGAAGGATCGAAAGACTACAACTCAAAAGCTTCACTTAAGCTCTCAACAGCTAAAACAACAACGGGATTTGCTCATATTTATTATTCCTCTTCTTCTTCAGAAGATGAAGATGCCTGCCCAACATGCCTTGAAGGTATAGTGCTGCAGCTTTATTCTGCCACCCCTCCCCATGCCAAAACAAGGATTATGAGTTTCCTCAATGACATTCTACCATTCTTGGTGGTTTGTTTTTTTGTTTTTTTTTTTTTTGGTGTAAACCACGAGGTGGTCCGGGTCTTTCTCTGTCCGTTTAACGGTCCAAGTCCACTCGACTGATCCCCGTTCGCTCTAGGAGGCCATGGAGCTGGCCCAGTGGGAATTGTCGCTTGTGGGAATCGAACCTGGGTTATCACAGAATTCTCCCCCACAAAGAGAATTCTTAGTGGTTTGTACTACTACTATTATGCAACCCTAAGCAAGTCATTTTTTACCCGGAAGGGCAAAAAATCTACTTCACTCTTACAGTAGTATAAATTATCGATCTGAGTGACTGAGTTGCAGTGGGAGAAGTGCGATATTACGTCTTTGCTTTAGTATTTATTTTCACACATTTGATGCATCTTTTCTATGCAGAATATACAGAAGAAAACCCCAAAATAATCCTGAAATGCTCTCATCATTTCCATCTTGGTTGCATATATGAGTGGATGGAGAGAAGTGATAACTGTCCAGTTTGTGGCAAGGTGACATTTTGAATTTGCTCTGTTTATGTGCAGCCTGCTGTGTTTTTTGTGAAATTAAATTTAGGGGTAAGATAAACTGGCGAGATGGCTTACCTGTTAAGCTTACCTTCTAAATCGTACTGGTAACATCAATGTTGCAGAAGGCGCTAGGCGCTAGTTTGGCCCCTGGGGGGCACCTAGGCGCCTCCTAGGTGGTCGAGTAATTTGAGTATATCGTCTCCACTTTTTCCACTCAAGGTTGTGAGTTGTTAGACTATTATAATCCACAAACTAGTCAACTACATGTGTTAGATGGTTAGTTGAGTACATAGCTGGAGGAATATAGAAGAGGAGCAACCGAGTAGGCAAAAAATACCACTCGGTCGAGTTTGGCCCCGACTCAGCCTAGTTGGGGGCCAACTAGGCGGAGTTAGGCACCCAACTCGGCGCCTAGTCGGCCAGCCAACTAAAAGCCGCCTAAGGCTGAAATTGCCTCGGCCTAGGGCAATTTTTACAACACTAGGTAACATTACTGGATCAATCTAAAATACTAAAGATGTTACTTTATCCACCATCCAACTCTAATTTTTGTTTCTACTAAAGCTGCTTTACTTGATATTAGTACCATTTAACTTTTCTGAGTGATTACTGAACTCCCCGTTCGTTCTTTCCCTTGCATGTGAAAGTAAGGAAACACAAGCAAGCAGGGAAATTGATAATGATGTGGTTTTTAGTAGTGCCATCTGCTCACCTAGTTTCCATTGCAAGGAATTATTCTAAAATTTTCTATCCTATATGCCTTCAAATGCTCTCATACACCAATAGAGAAAATAGTAATGCAATTTCTCATGCTATTTTCCCCATAATATACCGGTTTACAAGTGGATGTGTCAATGGATAACTAATATTTGTGTGATTTTATGTCTGTTTCTTCCAGGAGATGGCATTCGATGAGACAACTGATCTTGCTTAACATATTCCGGTGTTGGAAACCAACAAAGACACAATGATCCTGAAATACGATGTAAAGTTTCTGTTAATAGTTAAAAAATGTTGCCTTACATAGAACATAAAGTAATTGTTCTGCAAAACCTATTTGAGTGCATTCTTCTTGGTGGCATTGTTTTCTCTACTTTGACTGGAGTGCAGTTTCATTTATATAGAAGATGCAGAGTTGGTTTAGCCATGATTGTGGTTGATAAAAGCAACCAAGCATCTGCAACTACTTTGATGTTCTGGTGTATATATTATTTTGCTTGACCCCACAAAATTGAAATCTGTTCTGTTCTGTTCACTGACTGACTGGCTTTTTAATGATCACAAAGTTAGTTCTGAAGCTTATATTATTATGAGATAAAAGGATAGTATCTCTGATGCGTTTAAGATGTGCCAACAGCTGTGTGGACCATAGTTCGAAAATGGAGTTATTTCTTTGCTTAAAGAAAAGGCGGTCGTGATATTTAACAAATTCTGTATTTTTGGTGTGTTTAGAACAAAAAGAAATTACAGTGTATCTAAAATGAAATTGAATAACTTGTCTCACATATTGTGTTTATATTATCAAATGAAACTGTAATTGAATTGAAATGATACTTTAGTTGTGTTGAAATGAAATTACAGTATGTATACTGTAATAACAGAACAACATTATGCGAGCAAAAATCTAAGCGACTCCGCGTTGTCCGGACAGCTTACTCTCGGACGGAAAGGACTCGGATTAAATCACAATGCTAAAAGCTTGAAAGATGTTAGAGTAAGCAAAATATTTTCATTCAAGTTGACCCTAAAGCATTCATCTAAGTATGGAGCCCCGGGCGGCTTCGATTGGGTCAAACGCTTACTCTCCCTTGCTGTCGACTTCTTGAAACTCAGAGAGCGGACACAGATGATGGAGATATTAAAAACGGCCCAATAATAAGACCTAGGGTCCGGGAGCACATAGCTCAAGGCCAAGAAGAATCCAGAACTCGAAGCCTGCCTCCGGACCTGAAATGATAGGCCTTGATTTAATCTTGCGACCCGGGCCTTGACAAGTCTTGTAGCCCACCGGAAGTAGCAAATTTGTTAGGACTACCCTTTATAAATGCAATAGTTATGCTGTGCAACCGAATGCACCATGTGCATGGTGCATATGATGCAAAACGACGTCGTTTTGACTAAAAACGCGCGTCCCACTTAAAAAAAAATTCAGGTTCGATTCTCGGCAATAGCATTATTGTGGATATATAGTTATGAATTTATGGATATATAGTTATGAATTTCTGGATATATAGTTATGAATTTATGGATATTTAGTTCATTCATTGTGGATATTTAGTTCATTCATTGTGAATTTTTACTTCATTTATTCACTGTGGATATATAGTTGTGAATTTTTACTTCATTCATTCACTGTGGATATATAGTTATGAATTTATGGATATATAAAAATGCTATTGCCGGGAATCAAACCTGATTTCTTTTTTAAGTGGGACACACATTTTTTAACCAAAACGACATCGTTTTGCATCGAATGCACCATGCGCATGGTGCATTCGGTTGCACAACATAATTTGCGTTATAAATGGTCCATTGTACAATCATTACAGCGGCATGTTCTATGATATCACAATCTACTTTGTAATCATCTTTTGTCTTGTTATTATTGTATCTTCATTACAACATCTTTAATACAAGGCTATTCCGTCTCTTTCGAGCTATACTTTGTCTTGCCATATTATTATTTCTTCGTTTATTATTTCATTTATTTATCGGAATTAATAATTTGAATTATCCGGATTAATTAAATCCATCAATATCTATATAAAAAAAAAAAAGTATTACATGTCTCACACAAAATGTACGTTTTTATGAATTGGTTTGGCAACCTATGTTAGGAGTGTTGTCATTTTTAGTTATCCAGTTGTCATTGTAGTGATTCTTTTGTTCTTTCCTTAATATATATGTTGACCTTGTGCCGATATTTGACCCCGTCTGTAGGCATGATCACGGCTCGAACTGAACCGTGCACTATTGAACCGGAACTGAAATTGAACTGTCTGTACGGTTCGGGTTAAGGTTCGAGATGAAAAGGAACCGGAATCGGCGGTTCCGGTTCCAAATCGGAAAAAATTAAAAATTATAGTATTTTTTAAAAAATAAATCCGGTTAGAACTGACAGTTCCAATCGGAACCGTCGGTTCTGAACCGGAACCGTCGGTTCTGAACCGGAACCTTACTATAAGGTTTCGATTCCGATTTGTCTATTTGCGGAACCGGAACCGTAGTCACTCCTACCTGTCTGAGATTTGGGGTTGGGGATTCAACCTTTTCAGAGAAGAATTAACTGAACAAATTAATTCACTTAAACATTACAACCAAACAAGCACTTAATATAGAAGAGTCTGCAAACAGCAAAACTATTTGGACATAACTAACAACGGTCAACGTGTAATTAACCGTCTTTATTTGGAGATGACAACTCACAGCTGGTTTAGCGATAGCTGAACCCAGAATTTCATTCCATTCCTTGGTGCATATTCTCAGTTCAACGAGGCACATGAAACCCTTTTGCGTTGGAGAAACCGCAAAAGTTTGTGATAATCAGGAAGGTTTTGGTTGATGACAGGGTGTTCCTTGAAATTGTTGACCCATGAATGGAGACGAGGATAATTGTTTGGTTCCACAAGTTTGGATGCCATGATTTCTTCCATGGCCGCAAACCAGATTGCAAGCCACCCAAATGTTATGTCCACCAATCCAATCTTGTCTCCCCCAAAATATTTCTTGTCTCCCAAACCTAATTGCTCTTCTAACATCTTTAGAGCTTCCACCACCTCTTCCTTCACACTTTCATCCTCGGCCGTTCCAAAGAATTTTAGGAAGAGAGAATCCTAAAAGTACAAAATAAACCCAATTAAAATTGGTTAGCGAAGTTCGGATGAAGGGTCAAGTCCAGCATCAAGTCACTATGATCTATGAGATTTGATGGCGGAGGCCTGAAGGGCTAAGGTAAAATAGTAGATTATCAGTCAATTTTGGCTCATTTACTCACTATTAGTATAGTTAGATTATCAGTCAATTTTGGCTCATTTACTCACTATTTAGCTGTTTAACTTTGTTAAACAATCAATATGAATTTAATGTTTGATTAATTAACTTTTTATAACAATTTATTGTTCCAAAATGCTAAAATTCAAAAAGTTACTCAAATTAGCTTTTCTGATAAGCTTTTTAAGAAAGTTATTTTGTATGTGATCAACTAACAACTAACAGTTAATTTTTCAAACACTTTTCTACAATCAGCTAATGTTATCAATTAGTCAAACCTACTAACCTAATCAGATAGCTCCTAATCAGACAGCTATTAGCTAACCATTTACTAAACACCCCCTAAGTCTAGTAGAGGTGGATGAAGGGTCAAATCCAACACTAGGTGGCTAGAAGATTGTTGGGCGGAAGCCCGTGAAGGGTCAAGTCCAACACAAGTGATTAGGGAATTGACGAGCGGAGACCTGAAGGGTTAAGTCCAAAACCTTGCCTCTCGAAAATAAATGTGTCATTAGTAGGTATATAACTAAATAAAAATTATGTCTTTGCTACTACTTGCTATCTAGTGATAAACGTTTGATTTTAACAGGGATTTTAACAGATGGTATCAGAGTCATACTATGAAAAATAAAATTAGACCTTCACTAGACATAATGGTAAGCGATTGATCTTAATTAAGCTCATAAAACATCCATAACCAGTGGAGCATTACTTTATATTACATCGTTAGCTAGCTACATGAAACATTACCTTGTCATCTGCAAACTTCATCCAAAATCGAGCCATGGCTCTGTCAGCTGCATCTTGAGGTAGCAATGGATTGTGTGGCCATGTTTCTTCGACGTATTCTAGGATGACAAGAGACTCCGAGATGGGATTCCCATTGTGAACAAGCACAGGAACCTTCTTGTAAACTGGATTATACTGCAACAACAACCCACTCTTTCTGGATCTACACAGATTCTCTTCAATGTACTTGTATCTAACACCCTTAAGCCTTAGAGCCCAGATCACCCTGTAAACATATGGACTACCCCAATATCCATGCACCTTCACTTCTTCCTCCTCATCCATATCTTTTAATTTAATCTATAGCTAAATCACATGCATATCTACATATATGGTGAGGCATATATATATATATATATGATATGGACTAAAAAAGAAATATAACGGTAAAAATCACTTGGAGAAGTAAAAACATTATTGTGAATATGAAAATACTATTTTTAAGGTAAAATTGTACTGATAATTTATAGTATAAATATTTTTTTGAGTTATATTACATATATTTTCATTTTTACTCTTTCTTTTTTTTTTTTTACTATCTAATTATCTGAATGTACACTTTGATTCATTCCAAAAAAATATGAGTCACAGTTTTTATTATTATTATTTTTTTCTTTTCCCTTCCCATAAAATCAAGACAGGAAAATTTTATTCCTATAAAATCCATTTATCATTTACTTTTTATTTTACTGATGGGTCGGACAATGATTTATTCTGTCACATACCCTTTTCCAAGATAAAAGTAGTCAAAGTACTGATGTTTTAGAGTATGCTAGGCTGGGAGGTTTCTGTATCAATTTATTTAATGGGAGTATGGGACCTAAAAGTACTGATGTTTTGAAGTATGCCATGCTGGAAGGTTGTCGTATCAATTTATTTATGACACGTTTAGTTTGTGAAATAGGCTTGAAATCACTACAAAAAATTGTTTTTTTTTAGCGACATACACTTAGCGGCAGTTATATATAACCACCTCTAAATCGTATCTTGTACTAAAACTTAAAGAATATATAACTGCCACTAAATGAATATTTCGCGGCATTTATAACAACCGCCACTAAATCGTATCTTGTACTAAAACTTAAAGAATTAATTATTATTTAGTAACTATAATACACGAAACTGTAATCGGCGTTAATATGATGCGTATTTTAACGGCAGTTATAAATGACCGCCGCTAAAACTCAAACTAAAATACATATTGAATGGTTTTATTCTTCAATCCCAATTCTTCCACAATTCTTCAACCGCTCGTTTCTTTTATAACATGAGATTGTCCAATCCTTTGTAAATCTCCCATACCTGAGATTTCAAAAACACGAGGAGGCCGACGGAGTTCGATTACTGAATCGTTCATTCAATTCCCAATTCTTCAACAGCCGATCCGACGGAGTTCGATTACTATATTAACTTCAATCCGACAACGGAGTTCGACGAAGTTCAAACACGAGGACGTCCAAGCTGACAGAGTTCGTTGCTGCCGGAGTTTGATTTGGAATTGCCACTAAAGACAAGGGACCTCTGGTGGAATTAACTCTTTCAAATATCATATTTGTAACTATTTTGCTTGTATCTCATCATTTAATTTATTTTGGTGAAATATAGTGTTGAATAGAACCGTCAAAATGGGTTTAGCCCGCCGGACTTTCCCATCCCGCCCGCCAAAAGGGCGGGGTGGACTCGTGTTTTTGAAGCCCGTTTTAAAAACGGACTTTTTTTGCCCGCCCCACCTAGTAACTATTATATATATACGTACAGTAACTATTATATATATATATATATATATATATATATATATATATATATATATAAGTTACTGTACGTATATATATAACAGTAACTAATATATATATAATAGTTACTAGGCGGGGCGGGAAAGTTACTGTTATATATATACGTACAGTAACTAATATATATATATATATATATATATATATATATATATATATATATATATATATATATATATATATTAGTTACTGTACGTATATATATAATAATACAAATAATAGTGTCGGTTATTCAGTGACCGCGGTTTTATACACCTTCATAACTGATAAATAATTGAATAGTTAAATAATCGAATTTTTTTTGCCTTATAACCGATAATTGATCGATAATGGAAACATCGGTCGGTTCGATTATAGGTTATCAATTTTTCGGTAATTATACTTACCCCTATTGGTGTCATTATTGTCATAATGTGATGAACGAATTTATGTTATTTTCTTATGAATAAGTGTTTTAAGTAGATAGCAATTAAGTTATAATTAACAGTCACATTAGAGTTTAGATTTTATGGACACATCACACATGATTTTTTTTTAAAAAAAAAAAAAAAAAAAAAAAACAGGCGGGCTTTGGCGGGGGCCCGCGGGCCTAAGGTGGGGCAGGCTGCCCCTACCTAGGCCCGTATTCTTGGCAGGCTTTTTAGCCCGCCCCGCCAAAAGGCGGGCTTTGGCGGGCCCCGCCCCGCCAGTCCGCATTGACAGCTCTAGTGTTGAATTCATTAATATTTGATTTTTAGAATTTTTTGAGCAAATATAACATAATATGCAATCTGTGACATGCTCTGAGTACTTTTGTCATATCTCTTTCATACAGATTCCAAGCTAACAGAACATGTAGACCCTACCATGTTGACAACCACAAGCATGGTGCATGGTACCTATGGTGGCTAGTTTATTTGCTATTTTGGGTCCCCGCGACTTGCCAGACACTTCAAAACTTATCTTTTCGTTTTTACTTCCTTAGCCTTTTAATGCTACCAAAACATGTCTATATGTATCTAGATGTCTTCAAAACTCGTCCAATATAATATAATTGAGCTCAGATCTACATAATTTAGCAACTTCCATATCTAAATCATCGAGACACAATAATTAACAACCGAATAAGCAAGCAAAGCGCAATGGTTAGAAAGTGTATGAGCAACAATCCATGTGACAAGCTAAAAAATTGGAAGAAAAATATAAGCAAATATATGAGATTTATCAACTTCCCTCAGTTAAGTGTTTGCTTGCACTCAAGCAAACTAAAGCTTAGGCCTGAAATAAAACCAACAATCAAAGACATAGAGAGTACTATACGTATAGCTTTCCCATGATCAAACAAATTAAGAAATATTCATACATGGATTAAATTAAAAGGGATGAAATGCCGCAAATTAAACCTACATATCTATTGGCTAGCTTATGATCGATGAGGTGTTCAATATTTAGGGTACGTATTGATTTCTGTTGGATATTGGTGAATAAATCGATACACAAAATATATATAACATATATATTTGTCCCGAAAAAAAAGAATTTAATTTATAGAAAATTAATTCCAACCAATTTTGGTACGAAACCGAAATTACATATATATACAGCGTGTATATATTAACCAACTAGGGATTTATTTTATCAAAATAATCCCACTACAACTAGTACGAAACTAGTACACGGGACTTAATCTCCACGAAATTAATCCCACCGCAACTAGTACGAAACTAGTACAAGGATTTAATCTTTCCGAGATTAATCCCACCACTTGGTATGAAACCAAGAACAAAAAAAAAAAAAAAAAAAAAAAAAACAAGAGACGGGTTTCTAACCTTAGGTTTTAACCCAACGCGAAGAAAGAAGAAGCAGAGGAAGCCCGAGTCGTGTGTACACGTACACACTCTCCTTAAAACCGATTCGCCACCTCCCGAGGGTGCTAGGATCGTTGTGGCGTCAGTCTCTCAGGATAAAACGGACTACGACTTTGGCGTTCGAGCACTCCAACCCAAAGCCCGGCAAACTAGAACACAAGTTGAGCACTCCGATGTTTTATGGAAGATGTTGGCAGAATTTCTTTTCAAAACATGAGATGAGAGTAGAGAGAAAATGCAAAGGTTTTGAGAGTTTCAATCTTGAATGTTGTGTGTAAACATTCTGCCACCACCATAGCTATTTGTAGGGGAAAAATGAATAAATAACATATTCATGGCACATAAACCAACATTAATCCAATTTAAAAATTGAATTAAAACGTTTAAAACGGTCATACTTATTATCGAAATAATATCAACGGTCACGAACTTAATACGCGATTAATTCGTACCGACCATAACGATCCGTTTCAAAATATCTGAGTGACCGAGAAGTCCGTACAAACCCGAAGGTTTAACGAATTGGGACCGGAAACCACACCCGAGTGGTCCGCAAGCACCGAAACGGTGCAGCACGAATCAATGCATATAACATTTGATTCGTGCACATCGAATCCACAGCACGAAACGAGCTACTTTGGAATCCAAAGCTTAAGCTCAATTCATGCACAACTTTCGTCCATGCCTAAAGCATAGCACGAAAGTTCATTTTCCCAATTCACTAATCAAGCTTTCAAAAGCTTAATTACTATGTTGCAACTTAACCTTTTCCAATGCTAAATTACAAGCATTCCTTCGTGAATGCTAAGTAATTAGCACCAAGATTAGTGCTAATTTTAATTAGCCACTAAACAATAGGTTTAAGTTGTCGACTTCTCTCAAATAGGTTCACTTTGAGAATCAATTTCTCATTCACCTATTACTCATTTTGAGCGTACATTATATCAAATTCTTTGTCTCACTACGAGGAACCCGAATCCACTTCGACCCGATCCAAATCGGAAGTGGATCCACATATATTTGTACTACAAAATAATCACTCAAAATGCCATTTTTTGCTAAAAATTCCAACAATCCCCCACATGAATGAAAAATGATTTTCAGGACGAGAAAAAACGACATGAACGTGCTCAACGGTCGATCCCTGCATAGCATAGGTAGATGTTACCCTTTGAACCTTGCCTTGTGAAAATATGTTTACTCTACTGGCTGTATGGTAGAACTTGATGTCTTTGAACCAACTGCCGTTTGTGTAGACGATGACAGATCCCACACAGGAACCTTCCAACCTTTGTTCTGTTCTCATGGGTGTGCCCGTTTTGGTCATGGGTCACCTTCCTGGTTCTGCGAGAGTTTCTAAAGAATTGAGCCCATCAATTCTCCTTTGAAGCGACCTCACTTCTCTCTAACATAGGTGATTCTTTATCGAGTATCCTGCTTACTCACACATGTCAACCGACATTCGAATCATTAAAGCATCAACATGCTGGCCTCGTGCGAGAGTCACTGTTCTAACGAGGAATGGTAGGGAGTCCGGGACCCCCACAGTGACACGCTTCGTTCCATAATTTAGTTGTCCTATTGAACCTAGGTGCCAGCAAGGTTGGGTGTCAACTATAGAACTTTATTCCATGGGCTTCAACCCATTCCTCGTTCCAATTTCTCCACAACCATTTGCTTACCCTCGGGTTAGTGAGTTA